CTGCCCCATGGCAGGGCACTGGGGGGGCTGCGCTGCTCCTCACTTTTTTTTTTTTTTGCCCCTCATGACCCAGGAGGAAGGGCCTGGCCTTTTACTATTTCCTGATAGATGGAATTTGGCACTTGAATTGGGGTTTGGTATAACCAGTCAGGAGGCCCAGCTGGGTCCCTTGGGTGTCAGGCTCCTGCCCACCCTCACCTCTTATGCTGGAGTCTCTGGTGGTGAAGTCACAAACAGGAAATCCCGCCAGGATGTGCTTGGGCCCCGATTCCCGGATGTTCCCAACCATCAGCAGCTTCCTGCATTCAGATGGAGGTTAAAAATAAGTGAAGAAATCAGGCACCTGCTAGACCTATGAGAGTCCCAGAGCTCCAGGGAGAGGGGGCAGCATTCCCCTCAACTATCTGGGTCGCAGCAGTGTTCTGGTGAGACTGCCTCTGCACTAGGGTCACACCATTTAACCATGTCCCTGCAATGTTGCCTGGGTGATGGGAACTGATACTTTGGCTTTGTAGAACCATTCCTGTGGCCTCGTCCCAGAGAAGCTATGTTAGTGCATTGCTGCTAGGACAGGTTCGGACAAGGCTCTACAAAGGTTAGTGCAGGCATGGAGCCGACCATCCGGCTGCCTCTCCTCTGTTGGCCCTGATGAATGACCACACAGGGTTCCTGCTGATGGGCACCTCCTGCATGTTCCCATCCTTCAGTTTTTGGTCAGGCCCATGCTGAAGCCCTGAGTGCGAGGCCCATCCTAGGGCTGTGTGCGATTGGCTGTTGCAGGGGTGGGGAAGAGATGGAGGAGGATATGGTTTCTGTTAATTTGTTTACAAGAATGTTTACAATCATGGAAACTCTGTGCGGCTCTGACAGGCCCTTTGGAGACAGCTGGATTGAGCAACAGCATCTGCATCACACTGATGCTGCAGATCCCCTGCAGAGAGGGTCCTTTGCCCCTGCTTCCCAGACCTACCCCCTCCCTTCCACTGTCAGCTAGTCCTTCTCCTGGGGCCCACGACAGGATCCATCCCTACAGTCTATTTCCCAGGACTCTGCCCTGTCCAGTCCTAACCATTCTGAGCAGGGGGGCTTCCACCCCATCCTCTGGAAGACAATTCCCTGCCTAATATCTCACTCAACAAATAACGTGACCAGCCTCTGCATCTCCACAGCCTGAGGTGTCCATGGTGGCCCTGTTCATTCTGACTCACCTATCCCAGCCTTCGGTTCCCACCTGCCCCTCAGTTCCAACTAGCAGCCCGCTTGCTATCCCAGTCCTGGGCTCCCAACACAGCTCACTTGGTGTTACTGGTGTTACAGGACCACCTAGAGGCCAAGGTGCCAGTGTGCCAGGCGCTGTACAAACACAACAATAAGTTAGGTCCTGCCCCAGAGTTTATGATCTAAGGTTAAGACAAGAGACAGCAGGTGGATATAACAAACAGATGGGAAGCACCAGGCAACTGTGAGCCAGTTGTGGTGATCAGTAGTGGTATGTGTTCACAACACAGCAGCTGCCTGACCATTGCCAAGTGTTTACATAACACCACAGCATAAGTGGGTTTTAAGGGGAGATTTAAAAGGAGAATAATGTAGTCGCCTTGTGAATTATTACAGAGAGCTACTTCCACGTATAAGAGGTTGCGTGGGAGAATACACAAGGCTGCTGGTTGGAAACATTGACAAATTACCTCAATCCACTTGATATCATTTCTGAGGAGATTACAGTTTGTTTGGTAAAGGTAATTGTGTTGACATAACAGACTTCTGTAAGGTATGAGATGTAGTCCCACACAACTTTCTGATTAAAAATTAGTTTTATTCGATATATTTGTAGCCCATATTTAATGGATTTAAAATTGGTTAATTGTTATTCAGTAGCTTTCACTGATCAGAAAGCAAATATAAAATCATTACACAGGGCATACTGAGCAGAAGTGGGGAGGTGATATTACCTCTGTATACTGTTCTTGGTGAAACCAGAACTGGACAGTGTCCGAGTTTGCTGTCCACGCTTTACAAAGAATGTTGAAAAATTGGAAAGGGTCAAACTTGCCTCACAGTGAGAAGCTAAAGGAGATCAATCTATTTAGTTTAACAAGGAAAAGGTTAAGCAGTGAATTGATCATGGTCTGCAAATACCTACATGGGGAGAATTCAGATAGCAGACAGTTCTTTACTTTCACAGACTTAGGCAGAAAAATTCCAACAGGAAATAAGAGGCATCTGTATAGCAGGGAAGGGAATGAACCATTAAAACAACTCACCCAGGGATGTGGTGTATTCGCTTTTACTGGGCGGCTGCAAATAGAGACTAGTTATCTTGTTGTAAAAGATCTGCACTAGCTCAAGCAGAAGTTGTTGGGCTGGATGCAGTAGTCACAGGGTGACCTGTTCTGGCCTATGTTATTCAGATGGTCAGACTAGCTCATAATGGGCTCTTCTGGCCTAAACATCAACTAATCTCTTTATCTGGGAACCCAGTGTGAAGGACCTGCTGTTATTTGGGGATTCTCCCAGTTAGACTGAAGAACTGTGTCAAACTGTGAGGTGAATAAGGGGGAAACCAACAAACACCTTCTAATCTGGGAACCAAGACAGGATTGAAACCTACATTTCTAGTAGCGATTAAAGTGTGTGTGGGAGGGGGGGAGGGGGAGAGAACGACAAGGGGGCAGATGCAGGAAAAAAAATTCAGTTGAGCCGGGTTGCTGAGAGGTGCTCTTTAAGCGCTAATCTTACAAAAGCTGCTGCTCCCAGATTATGATAGCCCTCCTACCACAATTTTCAGACCATAAGAACATAACCTAAGAATGGCCATAAGGGGTCAGCCCAATGGTCCATCTAGCCCAGTGTCTTGTCTTCCGACAGTGGCCAATGTCAGGTGCTTTAGAGGGAATGAAAAGAACAGGCCAGTTAGTGAGTGATCCATGCCATCATCCAGCCCCAGCATCGGGCAGTTAGGGCCTAGGGACACCCAGGGCATGGGGATGTGTCCCTGACCATCTTGGCTAATAGTCACTGACGGGTCCCAAATGGGTCTGTGTAGATGGGCACGCGCACACACACACACACACCCACCTGGGAAATATTTTTTTAAATAATGAGGAAGATTACTTAGGAGGTGCATGTTTTTAGTACCACCTGGGAAAAAAAACCTGATTGGATGCTTTCCCCATGTTACTCACTTCCTGGTGAAGAGCAGCCAATCACTGATCAGGGCTGCAGCTAGGGTCAGCAGGCAGACCTCTTCCCCCGCCCCGCAGGAACCCTCACCATTCTCAAAAGAGTTGAGGGGGGGAGCAGAAAGGCCCCAGCTGCTCCCCTCTCTCCCCACTCCTCCTCTGCTCTGTGCCCTCCCACCCCACATTCCTCCTTGCAACACTAAGCCTGGGAAGGGGAGAGGAGGATGAAGGTCTCCTTAGCTGCAGGAGGAACAGAGGGGAGGCTGGAGGAAGGGGCAAGAACTGATGTGAGGGCAGAATGATGGAGGCAGGGGGCAGAATTGATTTGGGGGTTGTGGGGTGAATTAATTGCTGGGTAGGGGAGATGGGCTGATGTGTGAGTGATAGTAGACACCCCCCACCCCATAGACACACCCTTTTTTTCCAGCCCACTGTAAGAACTGCCCTTAACTCCTAACTCTTCTTAGCTCTTGTCCTGGCTGCCTCTTCTAACCTCCTCCTCCGGAGTCTCTTCATCCATGCTTCTGCAGCACAGCGACCTCACTTGGCAGGGACTACCCGGCAGTACATGCCTTGTTCTGGTAGGTGCCTCTTAGAAAGCTGCTCACTTAGGCCTGGACTTCCTCCCTGGTAGCGAACAGTCTCCTTCTGTTCCCCTGGAAATCAGCTGGGAGGAAGCAAGATGGGGAGGTGGTTTCCGAAATGCTGTGGACTGTGATTACAGACTTCGTCTCAAACTCCATTGGGGGTGGGGAGAGCAGGAGCGGCTGCCTGGGGGACTTGAGTTATTTTGGTGCAAGTCAAACATGTGCCTTTGATCAACACTGCTCACGGACAGATGCAAACCTGGTGGTGCGGGGCTTGTTGGCGTTTTGTAAAGGGAAGCAAACAATTTGGGGAATGTCCCTTCCCAAGGAACACGCTGGTTGCTTTGGAGGATCCAGAACTTTCTAAATATAGAGAGGGGATTATTTCAGAATGGAAAACGTTTGTTCAGGAAGGAAAGACTCTGAGATCAGCCGACTTGAGACTCACCCACATGCTGTTGACTCCAACAGACCTCTCCAGCTTGGGAGCAGGGAGCCGGGGTGTGGAGACTGCAGGGAGGAGGAAAATCTCTAGGCATTACCCATCAGTGCCTGAATTTGTCCTCACGCAGTAGCCTTCTCTCAGTTCTGGGCTAGCACTTATGGACAGGTGGTTTCTGAAGCAGACACACATGTGGGGCCTGGTGAGTCCTCCTGGGGGAGAAGGAAGAAGGAAAAAAAATCCCAAACCCTGAATCATAAGGTTCCCCTTGGTTTTAAATCACAGACAACTGGGTTCCATCTACCACGCTTCACGCATGCTGAGTACTAGATCCTGCCAAATATCCCCAGCAAGCACCCCCACCTCTCTACACACACACACACACACACATGAAAAAATGGCACCAGTCAACATAGTAACAGTGCAAATACACACTGCCACAAACACAGTACTCTCTAGCTATACTGCAGCAAGACACACACAGAGAGAGATAACCTGGTATGAAATAGCTCCATCTAGTGATAATTTTTATTTACACAGGTTTCAGAGTGGTAGCCGTGTTAGTCTCTATCAGCAAAAACAACAAGGAGTCCTTGTGGCACCTTAGAGACTAACAAATTTATTTGGGCATAAGCGTTCATGGGCTAGAACCCACTTCATCAGATGCATGGAGTGGAAAATACAGTAGCAGGTATATATACACAGTACATGAAAAGATGGGAGTTGCCTTACCAAGTGGGGGGTCAGTGCTAACAAGACAATTCAATTAAAATGGAAGTGGGCTGTTCTCAACAGTGGAATACCAAGGGAGGAAAAATCACCTTTGTAGTGGTAATGAGGGCAATGTAATCAGGGTGGCCCATTTCAAATAGTTGACAAGAAGGTGTGAAGATCAGCAGGGGGAAATTAGTTTTTGTAATGACCCATCCACTCCCAGTCTTTATTCCGGCCTAATTTGATGGTGTCCGGTTTGCAAATTAATTCCAGTTCTGCAGTTTCACGTTGGAGTCTGTTTTTGAAGTTTTTTTGTTGAAGAATTGCCACTTTTAAGTCTGTTATTGAGTGACCAGGGACACTGAAGAGTTCTCCGACTGGTTTTGAATGTTATAATTCCTGATGTCAGATTTGTGTCTATTTATTCTTTTGTGGAGAGACTGTCTGGTTTGGCCAATGTACATGGCGGAGGGGCATTGCTGGCACATGATGGCATATATCACATTGGTAGATGTGCAGGTGAACGAGCCCCTGATGGTGTGGCTGATGTGGTTAGATCCTATGATGGTGTCCCTTGAATAGATATGCGGACAGAGTTGGCAACAGGGTTTGTTGCAAGGTTTGGTTCCTTGGTTAGTGTTTTTGTTGTGTGGTGTGTAGTTGCTGGTGGCTATTTGCTTCAGGTCTGTAAGTGAGGACTGGCCTGTCTCCCAAGGTTTGTGAGAGTGAGGGATCATCCTTAAGGATAGATTGTAGATCCTTGATGATGTGCTGGAGAGGTTTTAGTTGTGGGCATTCTGTTACTTTCTACTTTTACTTTACAAGTAGTAATTTCTCACCTTAAATGTTGTTTTAGGCATTTCTTCTGCAAGCCAGACACCTTTTCCAGCCGGGGCTCAGCTCTTCTCCCCCACTTTTGTCTTTGTTTCGTAGAGCTTGTCTACGCTTACATTTTATAGCTCTCTAATTGGTGGCTCAGGGGTATGAAAAATCACCCCCCTGAGTGCAGCAAGTCTGAGCGCTTTAAAGTGCTAGTGTAGACAGGCTCCCAGCGCTCGGAGTTATTCCCCTCGTGGAAGTGGATTACCAGGAGTGCTGGGAGAGCTCTTTCCCAGCGCTCGCGCGTGACCACACTCACACTTCAAAGCGCTGCTTCAGGAGCGCTCCCACAGCAGCGCTTTGAAATTTCTAGTGTAGATGTAGCCTACGATGTTTCCAGCAGTCATTCTGGGCAGGGTTTCAGTGAAGAATTACCCTGAATACGTCACTCCCCTGTCTTAAATAGGTTTTACATATGGCGGGAACCCTTTGTTTTCCAGTGTGGTTCCTCCTCCCCGCCAGTGGAAAAATACTGATATTCTATCATGGAATCCAATACCAGGTGACTTAATCACATGACCCTACAGCGTCAAAGCAGCCATGATTCAAAGGTTGTTTGTAGGGTCCCAGGAAGCATCTCGGGAAGGTGGGAAATGAGCATCTTCAAAGTCCTATTTTTCTCCCTAATGGCCATCCAGACAGATTGCATTCTGGCTGGTGGGTGTTCCCGAGGTGTAAACCCACTTTGTAATTGTTACACAGTCAATATTCCTAACTTCAGACACAGAAATGATACATGCTTATAAATAGGATAATCATCTTCAGCAAACCATAACCTTTCCAATGATATCTCACAAGACCCATCTTGCATAAAACATATCTTAGTTATGCCACATTCATATCATAACAATTTCTCTATGAAAAATGGGGTGTAGCATCACAGGGGCACTTAACCAAGACAGCCCGAAACCCAGTGCTCCAGTCTGGAGGGCTGTGACTGCAGGCAGCAAGAGGGAACTGGTTTCACTCCCCTCTCCAGCCGCTGAATTCCAGGCCGAACTGTGGAAGGATCCCTCCTTACAGAAGCTGAGGGAACTTGCTGACCCCCAAGGGGTTTCGCCATGCTGTGAAGGCTGCAGGGAAAGATTCCTATGGGAGTAGGGATTCCTGTACTGGGAATGGGTTCTCCCAGGGGGAGTGGAACTACGGGGGATCAGGAGACAGCTGGTGGTCCCCCAGAAGTACCACCGCAGGCTGCTGTACCTGCCCACGATGTCCCTCTCCCGGGACACCAGGGGATCCAGTGCACCAGGCAGAGGGTGCTACAGAACTTTTACTGGTCCAGAGTCTGTGATGCCATCCAGCAGTACTGCAGGTCCTACGACCCCTGCCAGAAGGTAGGGAAGGCCCGGGACAAGGATAAAGCAGCCTTGAGACCCCTCCCTGTCATACAGGAGCCTTTTTCAGAAGGTGGCCATAGACATAGTGGGGCCCCTCAGCAAGGCAGCCTGGGCAGGGAAGAAATACATTCTGGTGGTGGTAGATTTTGCGATCCATTACCCAGAAGCGGTGCCCCTATCCTCTACCAAGGCAGACACTGTGGTGGACGTGCCGCTGACCATCGTCAGCAGAGGGGGGTTCCCCCGGGAGGTCCTTTCAGACCAGGAGTCCAATTTCATGTCAGCCCCGCTCTGGTGCTTGTGGGAGAAGTGTGGGGTCCAGCACCACTGGGCCTCGGTGTATCACCCTCAGTCAAGTGGGCTGGTGGAGAGATTTAATGGGACCTTGAAGATGATGTTCAATATTCTGTTTAATATCTTCAATGATTTAGATAATGGCACAGAGAATACACTTATAAAGTTTGCGGACAATACCAAGCTGGGAGGGGTTGCAAGTGCTTTGGAGGAATGGATTAAAATTCAAAATGATATGGAAATGACTGCCTAAGAAGGAGTACTGCGGAAAGGGATCTGGGGGTCATAGTGGATCACAAGCTAAATACGAGTCAACAGTATAACACTGTTGCAAAAAAAGCAAACATCATTCTGGGATGTATTAGCAGGAATATTGTAAGCAAGACACGAGAAGTAATTCTTCCGCTCTACTCTGTGCTGATTAGGCCTCAACCAGGGTATTGTGATCAGTTCTGGGCGCCACATTTCAGGAAAAATGTGGACAAATTGGAGAGAGTCCAGAGAAGAGCAACAAAAATGATTAAAGGTCTACAAAAGATGACCTATGAGGGAAGATTGAAAAAATTGGGTTTGTTTAGTCTGGAAAAGAGAAGACTGAGAGGGGACATGATAACAGTTTTCATGTACATAAAAAGGTTGTTACAAGGAGGGAGAAAACTTAACCACCTCCCACAAACCATCACACCTCCCAGTCAGCCTGCCAGCATGCAGGTCCCAATCTGAGTGTCTGTGTATATCCACAGCCAGGGTCCAGCAGCTGTCAGCACACTCCAGTCACACTCTGGCTTATATCAGCCTTGGCTACCACTTGCAGGATGAGCCCAACACACTCCCTGTCCTAGATACTACTCTAAATGGAGTTACCTGCACAGATCACAACACTGGATTAGTTTGATTAAAGAATAAAACAAGATTATTTAACTTCAAGCAGATAGATTTTAAGTGAGTACAACTATAAGGCATTAAAGTCAGAAATGATTACAAGAGAAATAAAGATAAAACACTTCCTAGTACTAAAACTTAAAGTAGACTTGGTTTAAGGTGAAGTCCTTTACCACATGTTCCCAGTAACACTGCTGACCAAACTCTCAGGCCAGGATTGGCTCTCAAAGTCCAACGTATGTTTCTTTTGTCTTCTTAAGTGAAAGAGAGAATGAGATGAGAGATAACGGGGAGTATTTATAACCCTCACTTTTATAAGTCAAAAGCAACAGAGGGTCCTGTGGCACCTTTGAGACTAACAGAAGTACTGGGAGCATAAGCTTTCGTGGGTAAGAACCTCACTTCTTCAGATGCAAGCGCTTCTTGCAAGTGAGGTTCTTACCCACGAAAGCTTATGCTCCCAGTACTTCTGTTAGTCTCAAAGGTGCCACAGGACCCTCTGTTGCTTTTTACAGATTCAGACTAACATGGCTACCCCTCTGATATTTTATAAGTCAGTTACCCTTTGAAAATGCATTTTTCTGAGGGTTACTCCTAGATACAGTTCATTCCTGCGGTGATGAGAGAGACAAGGTATCTGGTGGTGAAAGAGGTTGCATGCTGTTGTTTGCTAAGATGCAAATTGGTCTGTTCCTGCCCCCACACCTTCCTTGGCAAAGAATGGCCGCTTGATAGGTGACTGCCCATCAACTTTGATGACACCTGGCTAGAGGCAACAGCTTGTCCCTTGTCTTTGAGAAACTAGTAAACACGTTTCAGACCTAATTTCAACTTGTTTATAACTTTACATATAAAGTTGCTTCACACATTTCACCATGATATTATTCACTATCAGGTTATTAGTTTTCAAATACCTCAACAAGGCATATTTTGTACAAGGATTATTACAATAGTATGTAGGTTGTGAATACAGGGGTGCATTCAGTCACAAGCCCCCACCCTGATCACCACCTACTCCCCACCTCCCAAAGCAACACATACCACCCTGGTATCACCCCCTCCTCACCCACCTCGGTCCCTGCCCACTCTCACACCCCAGTGAC